GTATATTAATAATAGGCTACTTCATTAACTTTATTTACTATCCCTGTTGTAGTATTATTCATAAGTAAAAACCAACAATATTTTTTTTCACCATGTTTCCAAATTCTCTACCCCAGGTCCAAAAGAAATGTAAAGAATGTACAAACTGAAAACATTAAATACTTTTGCGATCTATTTCCATTTGTTATTTTCAAAAGAGAAATACTGTCATGGATGTTTACAGAGCAGAGGTCACCTTTTTTTAATTCCAATGGGAGAGATGGACTTTTGTTTGTCTTTTTTATTATTATTTTTTGCTGTATTGTTGGTTACTGTGTTATTTCTGTTTCAAAAGCCAGCAATAAATAACACTTTAATATCTAAAGAGTGTTCATGTGATTTTATACATTAGTAATGTTGGGAAATGAATAAATGCATAATCGTGAAACCGTGATTATTCCTCAAGACAATAGTCGTACCAACAAAATCTATAATCGTTGCATCCCTATAACTAAACCTGGAAATATCAGGCTTTTTTAATATGCAAACCTATAAAATTGCAATTAAATGTAAACATTTTCATACATGACTGAACTTGTAAATATCAGGGGATTTTAAAATTGCAAGACTGTAAATATGCAATTAAATAGATGTAAGCATTGCCATGCATAACTAAATTTGGAAATATCGGGATTTAAAAATTGCAAATCTAAATAAAATCCAGATAAATAGAAGATATAAATATCATGCATAACTCAACCTGACGATTAGAGGTCGACCGAGTGAGCGGTTTTGCTGAATAATTGGCACCGACTCCAGAAGCGGATTTAAATCAGACAATGAGATGTGTACACATTATACTATAGTGCATGTTTTCGTATCATTGTAAAGTATTTAATTTGTTGACTAGATGATGATTTAGAGAAAGAGCAGCAGTTTGCTTTCAAGGCTGAAAGGATGCGAACATTAGTTTTACCTCAAGCGGTTAAAACAATGTGACTAAACACACGCAAGTCTGACCCAAATGCATCCGGTGTGTGTGATTCCTGTGAGTCGTCCTAGACTCGACACTGCACTTTTGCCCGGCGTGACTAAGGGTGCTTTCACACTTGGTTCGATTGCTTGGTCCGAACCGGAGTTCGATTGCTCCCCCTGCCCCTGTTGGACTGTGTTCACATTATATTATTTGGGTCTGAACCGCGGTTCGTTTGCGTCATCAAGCCAGCAGCTGTTTACCCCGTTGCTTAGTAACGATGGAGAAAATGGAAGAGATGGAAAAAAATCTCAGGAGAAAATGGCAAAATGCGTAGCATTGCTTTTTTCAATTTTATATTTATGCTTTTGAACCATTGGTTTTGTTTTCGAAGCTTCAGTACATAACAGCACTTACATCTGCCTTACGAATGTACTGACAATGCTCTAAAGAACCCTGAAGGCGAACAGAAATGAGATATACAGCTCTCTGCTTGCAGCGCGTCAGTCACGCTCCTCAAGAAAGTGAGTGAAAAACACATTTTTATCAAATAATACGTCATTAATAGCGGTTCACTACCGTGATTTGGTACGATTGCGTTCACATCAGCAGCGAACCGTACC